AGTTACTTTTATAACTATATATATCACATTACCATTATAATCCTGGTTGTAAACCTATTGTCATAGCTAATATATATAAACAAGTGATTTAATACTTATACTAAGGCTCTTACACTCATCAAACCTTAACCCCCACTTTTTTGCTAGGGTTTTTCGTAGTATGTAAAATTGTTTTTTTTTTTTATTCAGGTATGCAGTTTCTAACTCAAAATATTAAAAAGCAAAAAAGAAAAAACAATCTTCTAAAACTATTATAATTTTGCTTGCTTTTGCACTAAGCTGTAAGTGTGTTATAATAATTAATGAAACTGTAGGCTGAATAATTCACAAGCTCATCAGAATGAACTTGCCTTAAAGAATTTGGTGAATTAAAATACCTTTCTATTGGTTGTAAATAATCCTATAGCAAATGTCAGGGAAAATTGAATTATTTTTTAAAAGCAGGATGTTATAGGAGGGGGTAGAATACGGATTTGACTTTCTGGTTTATACCTCAGTAAAGTGAGAACACTGTCTAAGCAATATCTATATTATAAGTGTATAATTTATGCCAAACTCAGGAGGTCATGTAAAGATAAAATAGTTAGAATGAGAAATTCAGAGCAAAGAAGTGAAGACTGAGAATTTATTTAAATATCTCCCTTTGAAATAAAAAAACTGAAATTTTTATAATATTAAAATTTAAATTATAAACTATGCTTTGCTGTCAACTTTATTGAATGTAACTGTAAAAGATTTTGACGTAAGCACTTTGACCCCACCCTTGCATGTAGGATTAAGTGCCTATTTCTTGAAAGAATAGAAGTGTACAATTTGAATAAAAAATGTTACTGAGATGTAATTGCAGTTTTAAGGTATTTATGGTATTTTAGATTTATCGAGAGGGTGGAAATAAGGGAACATCTGGGTGTAAGTGATCATTACTCTATAAGGTACATTGGTTTACTGCATATGGAGATAAAAAATGATATTTTAGTTACAAATTTCAAAAAAGCAAATTTTGAAAGGATGTGAGAACAATTATCTTTTGTGACTTGGGCATTTGAATTATTTGGATAGACTGATCAGATGGGGAAAATTTTGAAAGATAAATTTTTAAATATTCAAGGTAAACATATTTCTTATAGAAAGAAAAGGGTAGCTGCAAGTAAAAAAAGAGGTTGGCTCACAAAGAGTATGATAAGATTAAAATATCATAAATTTAAATTGACTGGTATGATGAGAGATTTAGAAGATTATAGAAGATCAAGAAAGCTGGTGAAACAGGAAATTATGACATCAAAAAGGATATATGAGAAAAGGTTGACTGAAAATGTAAAAATTAATAGTAAGGATTTCTTTAACTACATTAAGGGTAAAAAAATGTTAGGATGGGGGGTAAGACCCTTGAGGGATAATAAAGAAGGCTTATATCTGATGATTATGAGATGGCTGGATTATTAAATTTTGCTTTTTCTTAATTTTTTTACTAATGAAGATTTAAGCAGTATTCCACATCTTGAACAGTTGATAGACAGAAACAAGATTGAACAAGATGACAAAATTAATTCTGAGCTTGTTAAGAAGAAATTGGTAAGTTTAATGAACGATATGGTTCCTGAGCCAGATAGTATTTCCTCAAGGGTTTTGAAGGAGGTTAAGGATTGGATATGTGAGCCACTAGCTACTATTTTTGTGTGTGTAAGTTCTTGAATAGTGGGCAGGTACCAGAGCATTGGAAGCTAGCTAATGTCACTCCTCTTTTCAAAGGAGATGATAAAAATTGTTCCAGTAACTACAGACCCATTAGTCTTACATCAGTTGTGGGAAAAGTTTTGGAGGCTGATAAAAGATGCTTTGCAAGACCATTTAACAAAAGTTTAGAATTTTATTGGATAGTCAACATGGTTTCACTAAGGGAAAATCATGCCTACAAATAAATCTTTTGATATTCTTTGAGAAGGTTACTGCTTATATAGATGAGAGTAAGAGTGTAGATTTGTCGTATCTGAATTTTCATAAGGCAATTGACAAAGTGCCACATAAAGGGCTTGTAAAAAAAGTATCTCTATAGGTGTAGGGTATAAGTTAGCAAATTGGATAAAAAAGTGGCTGGTTGAAAGAAAGTAGAGGGTTGTTACAAATGGAGTTCAGTCAAACTGGATTA